TTAATCTTGATCATGGTCTTAAGACTTCCAGCCTCCTGAACTATAGGGAGTAAATGTCTGTTGTTTAAGCCACTTGGTCTATAGTATTTTTGTTATAGTAGCCTGAGCTAGGACAGCTTTATATAAGCCTTTGGGGACCATAGATGAACCTATATCATTTGGTTCTAGTATGTTCTGTGGTTTCAATGCAGAAACCTAGAGAATAACCAAGGCTGGGAGAAAGAAGGACCACACTGGTGGGGAAGCTGGTGACAAGTGGTAAGGAGTGGGCAACCTGGGTGCTAATTCTTGTTTTTTTCTTCCCTAGCCTTGTGGCCCTGGACAAATCACTGGGCCTGTTGTCTTTTCTGTAAAGAGAGGGGCTGCTCAGTTCTCATTTGGATTCAACCTTTCCAATGGAGCATTTAAACATGGAGGAGGGATTTTTTTGGTTGTCACAAGGACTGGGGGACCCTGCTGGCTAAATATCCTCCAGTGTGTGAGACAATTGCACCCTAAATGCCAGTGTGCCCCTATTGAGAAGCATCATCTCTAGCAGTCCTTTGAACGAGCCCTCTACATCTCTCTACATATACATGATGTTTGCTGGTGGGTTGGGAAACATTTGGATACTGTATGAAGCATGCAGGTCTCCACCCAAACCCACAGGTCAGATGACTGCTGTCCAAACATTAGGATCTTTAGGGCTGCAGATGAGATGCTCTGTCTTGTGCATGTCCTGCTTGGGGGGCTGACCCTACCTTGCCGAAGATTTAGTTGAATTCAGTTGAAGTGTACTATTTCAAACCATTTGCCCCCTTGTTCTGACAGCCAGCAGGAGCAGAAAACTGGCTTGCTCTTGTACTAACTGCGTTCTCAGAACCGTGCCTGCAGTGCTTTATCGTTCTGTTCAAAGCTAAGCAGTGCCCTCCTTGGGACACTCTGGGAATGTACAGTATTCATTGCTCTAAGAAAATGCCTTGGCCACAAGGAGAAAACATTCTCTGGCTGTGGCTTGAGCCAACTGGGTCAGCACCAGCCTGTGCAGATGTCTCTGCGGACAGAGAAGTCCCTCTGGGAGAAGGCAGCCCATGCTAGGGTGTGTAGATTGATGAGAGGAGTGAGAACTGTATTTCTGTCCTTACTTGCTGCTCTCCTGGCCAGGTGCTCTTGTGCAGTGCGCTAGCTGTACAACAGTACCTACTAGCTGGACCCTCCCATTCTCTACCAATTCAGCAGTCTACTCTTGGCTTCATTCAGGAGGCTGTCTCCCCGTGCTTGCCTAAACCCAAAAGCAAAATGTGTGGGTCCCACCTACTTCTCAGGCTCTAGTTCTAAAGAATGGGCCTAGGTGTCCAGCCTCCATGGCCTGACATTCAGTGCTGTGTATACTCCGGTTCCAAATTGCTTTTCTACTCACTGCGCCCCAGACTCTGCTAAACAGGCTACTTTAGTCATTGCCTCCCAAATAATGCTTGTGAAGTTGCATCTCCACACCCTCATACTCTTCCCTTCCCCTCACCTTTTATCCAACTATTTCAAGACTTGGCTCATTTTCAGTCCTCTGGGAAGCCCTCTCAATTGCCCCCACTCAGGAGTTACTGAAAAGTGTCCTTGTACCTCCCATGGGTCACTGACTGCACAGTTCATGTATTGGGAACCTTGATTCTTAAGAAGATTTTAAGTTCCTTGAAGGTGGAAACCTAATGAGAAGACTTCTTCAGGCTCCTCTACTTAAGAATCATTCCAAGCAATTACCATGGAAACAAATATCTTCTCTTCCTGTCCTCTTGGATCAAAGCAAACAGACAAACAAACAGTTAAAGAGCAAGGAATTTGGCTCCCTGCCTAGGTTGGCAGTGAGAGCATCAGAACAAGGTTGAGGCCGCATCCATGCACCTCATTTAGTTAGGTGCCCATGAACTTGGCTTGGAATACTTTGGCCCCATCTTAAAGAAAGTGCTTTATTCTGGGGACACTGGTCAGCCTGAGGCCCATGCTCCTTAGTCCCACCACAGGAAGCCTTCTCTCTCCATCTGTCACTCTGAGACCATATTGACTGAAGCTCTGGGTTTACTCATATCTTGAGTCACCCAACCTTGCCTGGCCGTAAAAACATCCATATCCTTATAGGTGGAGGCCTTGTAGATAGGTTGTTGAGTCAGATTTAGGAGTTTGAGAAAGAGATGCTTTGGATGGTTTTAAAAGCCTTTGGTGAGTTTGCAGAAGTCCTGGACTCAAATCCACCACTACTCACAACAGTGAATGTTTCAGAAAATGCCTGGAAAAGGGCATCTCTCTGCTGAATGACCCTAGTAATGTACTCATTCCCCAGGTAATTACTGAGCCACTCTGTGTTCCAGGCACAGTTCTAGTTTCTGGAAATATACCTGGGAACAAAACAGACAGAAATTCCGCCCTTATGAGCCTCCACTCCAGCTTCTGGCCAAGTCTGTTTTTCATATGGTCCAAGCACTTTGGCAGGTGTTAGGGCTGTAAAAGGGATGGCACGGGAGCCCCTTGGGTAGCAGTCTTGGCAGACAAGTCTCTTAGAAATACTGCCCCAAGCCTCACTGTTCAAGTCTGGTGTGTGGAGCGGCCGCATCGGCACCTCCAGGGAGCATTTTAGAAATGCATCATCTCAGGCCCTTCCCAAGACCTTCCGAGTAAGAAACTGCACTTTATAATACAATCCCAGGGGAACTGTGTGCAGGGAAAGGCTTGAAAAGCCTTGCTACGAGACACCAAATCCCACCAGCTATCCTGCAGTGAAACGGAGCAGAATGATAAAATGCATTTGAGAACGAGCACATCCCGTGCCTCCGATTCAGAAAGGTGGCATGTTAAAGCCTGAGACCTCCTCAGAAAGAAATGTGCTTAAAAACCCAATGCTCCCCAAATGTATTTGATGGCTCAACAACAAACCCCAACTGCAATCGCTCAACAGAACCAGCATCCTGTGAAACACACCTTGAGAAACCTGTAGTGGACCCTCTGGCATCCACAGATTCAACTTTCTTGTCTTTAATGACTGCAGATGGAGCGAGCCCATGGGGTGATAACTGGCAGTTTTGCTGTGGAACAAATCTGAATCATGCCTACTGCCAGGCTGGGGCTCTGGGCCAAGGTCTCAGCTTGGGATAGGGTGAGGATCGGAGGGCTGGAAAGATAGAGGGGACTCGGAGACTGCCAACTACTGGTTAACTTGTGGCATAAGGAGGATATATACAGAAAACACTGGATTCTATATCTCAAATGTGTCATTTGGAGAAATTTAGGAGCCAAAATAAAAATTCTTTGTCATTTGGGGGATTCAAGAAAGTCATGGGCTATATACCACAGGTGTCAACAATCTGATGATGATGATAGCAAAGACAATGATAGATCACTTTTTAAAACTTACTATATGCCAAGGATGTCCTAATTCATATGTTCCCAACAGCAATGCTAAGTGGTATAATCCTCATTTCTGAGGGTGCAGAAATTGTGGCACAGAGCTGGCTCCTCGTTTTGATCCCTTTCATGCTGAATGTGACTTCTGAGACCTAGGTGACAGGCAACGACTGGTGCAGACTAAACTGACCAGATGATGGAGTGGCCACTGGTCCCCTTTATGCCCCTAGCCAGCCCCCCAAGGCTGAGGGACTTGCTCAGAGCCCCATCCCAGAAGTGGGCAAAATTCAAATTTGTGCCTTAGCAAAACTTCCGGTTATCACACCATGGGCTTATTCCTTCTGGAACAGGGTAAAGCAAGAACACAGAACCCCCTTTGGGGGTGCCACGTAGGTTGAAGCAGCCCTAATTGGGCAGGTACAGGCTGGAGTGACCTCAGTGGTGGGTCTGGGAGGGGGATACTTGGTTTGCTCTGGGGCAGTCATAGAAGGCTCAGTGCAGTGCTGGGCTGCAGGTAGGACTAAGCTTGGATTGTAAGGCCTGGGATCTTCTCACAATGCTGGTCTACAGCCACTGTGTGGCCTGTGACAGGCCTCTTTCCCTGGGTCTCCGTCTTTGAAAATAGTGATACACCCCCCACCCCACCACACCCAGACATGGGCTGCACCTTGGGTTTCAACGCAGTGACCGCTTTTCAGGAGGTCCCTCTGGGGCTCCTTGGGGTTATGGCTGGCTGCTCCAGGATGGCAAATCCAGATCACGTGAGAGGTGGCTTCACCCTCCCTCTCTCAGGGACACAAAGAAGATCTGTTGCTTCCAAATTGCACCAACACACATGCCTAGAACCCCAGTAATGAAGCTGGAACCTCTACTGTGTGGTCAAACCCAAGAATAAATTGCCCCTGCTTCTTGGGATGACACTAGGAATTCACCATTATTCACTAGGCAGTCCCTGGGGCCTAGAGCCAATTCACTCAGTTTAAGATTCCCTCCCTTTGAGACAAAGTATAGGGTGGTGATAATGAAGTCAGTCGGGCACAGCCTTGAGTGCCGGCTGTGTGACACAGGGCAAGTCACTCAACCTCTCTGAGCTCCAGCATGCTCATTGGTAATTGGTATAAATGAAAGTACCTATATCCTGTGACTACTGTGAGGTGCTGGCACATTACCAGTGCTTTGTAAAGAGCAGCTATTACTCTTGTTGCTTGGACATTTGTTATGAGGGGGGAATACTGTTTTAAATTTGTTTTTTAAAAACAAATTTCTGAAGGCAGTTTCAAATGAAACTTTAAAATGTTTTTCTCTCCTTATAAAGTTAACATTTTTGTATGAGGTTAGGCATTTTTTTTTTTTTTTAATGAACAAATAGCAATCAAGGGCTTCTAAACAATTCCAAGGACTCCCTTGCTGCTCTCTTCCACTAGTCTTCCACCCTCTCCCTCCTGGCAGCAGTCGCTGGCATTTTTTTGTATGGCTCACCTTGGAGGTCAGCAAGCTCTGCACCTCCTGGTTGGGAGCTGCCAGTTCTCCCCTGCAGCTGTCCCGAAGTCCTCCTGCTGTAGGTTGTCCCTTTGTCCCAGAGCACTCACCCTGACAGGGAAGTCCCTCATTTCTTCATTAACTTCCAGGTTGCTCCCTGCCCATTAACGCTGAGCTGGAGAAGCAGGATTCACAGGACCTTACAACCGGGACCAGGAGCAGCAGCTTGGAGATTCAGGCCTTCTTTGGCTTCCTTGACCCTCCTGTCCCAGGGCCAGCATCAGGGAGGGAGGAAGAGGACAGGGATGGATGACTCCTCTGACAACCACACGGGGTAAGGCCAGGCTCACGGTCACACAGTGGCTGAGCCAGAAGACCAGTGTTTTTGCTTTTCTGTCTAATAATGGCTGCATCTATACAAAATTTTGGGCAGGAAGGGCAATGCATCTATCAGAATGCAGTGGTGACAGGCGCAGCAGGAGCTAAATTGGCTGAGTTGAACCAGGCTGTTACTTCCTAGCTGTGTGACCTTAGGGAAATCACCCAACCTCTGTGCCAACAACTGCACCTACCGCATAGGATTCACTTAAGGATTAAAGAAGCTGATCAATATCAAGTGATTAAAATCCTACCTGGCACGTCTGTAACAAGGATTCTACATGCTAGATATTATTGTTGCTGTTAAGCCTCATGAAGGCAGGAGTCTTTGTCTATGTTGGTTACTGATCTGTGTTAGAACAGTGCCTGGTATTTAATAGGTGCTCTATAAACAGTTGTTGGGTGGGTGAATCTATTTCTTTCAAGATAAAACTCTTTTGCAATGCAGCTATTTATCTTGGCCAGCAGAGGGCAGCAAATAGCTGTGACTGATTAATTGTGGGCAAGGGTGGTTTTAATTTTCAAGGCTAACGGAACTGTCCGTCCTGAGTCAGTTAGGGAAATAAAAGGTTGCCATGTACCTGTACGACTGGTCCTGACCCCTCCCACTTACCTTTGTGTAGGTTAGAATGATTGTCAGGCATTCAACTCACAAAAAATCTTGGTTCCATTTCTTCTCAATTTATTTTCAATTTCCTTCCTTCCTCCCTCCCTTCACTATCCCTGCTTTTCCTCCTTTCTCCGTTTTCTCTAATCATATTTCCCACTGCCCCTACATTCATTCCTCTTTATCAAGCTAGTATATTGTACACACTCCCAAACTTTATCTGTACAACTGCAGCTTGTACTGCAAACCATGACATCTAGAGTAGATCCTTACACAGTATTCTTCCCAACCAATGAATGCTGCTAAACCTAGTGTAATTTTTTTAAAAAAACATGTAATTTGATAACTCTAGACCCAGAGAGGTACTATAGCTTGGCCAAGAACACACAACAATTCGGGGTAACATTGGAGTCCCAGCCAAGGCCTTCTGCTGTCCATTATACAGCCTCATCACACACGTTCTCTTTTGCCAACAGGAGGCTCATGCGGTCCCTGTTTGTCATCCAGTCAATACAGCCATCAGCTTCTGGCCCCAGACACCTTTCCTCTGCACTGTGGCACAGAGGAGCAGGCTGCTTTGGAGGGCAGCTCCCTGGGAGCTCCAGGGACCTTGGCCAGGCGGCCACTGCCACTGACTTCTTCCTCGGCTCACTGAGCCCCTGCCTGCAGCTCTCGTGTTTCCTCTGTGCTGCAGTGAAAGCTCATCTTCCCCCGATGGCACATTTCTTTGTCACAGACAGGACCCTCACTGGCAGTCGGAGATGAGTTCTTAGGGAGCTTCTGGGTCTTGCTGGAGCCTTCTGGCACCACGTGTGGATGGGGATGGCTCCGACACCCAAGCCTCACCACTGCTCCGGGGGTCACCCGGTGACATGATCTCCCAGCTTGCTAGATCCTTTCCTTCCCCATTATGATCCAAAAAATCATGCTAGGATAACCGTCTGGAAAAAATGTTTAATTGATCTTCCAGCTGGGAAACAAATTCTATATGAATTGATGAGTTTTAAAAATAAAACTAAAAAGGGGAATTTTTAAAACTAGAAAAAATATGGGTGACCTATTGTCTTAGGGGATATTTCTTTAAGCATGAAAGCAAAACTAGAAACTATAAAAAAAAATGTACAGGTTGACTACATAGAAATTAAAAAGCTCTATATCCTGATAAACATCCAAATCAAAATAAAAGCTAGTGACCAATGGAGAAAAGTTGAGCCACCCATGTAACAGGCAAAGGCTAAATATACTAAATCAGACTCTCAAGAAAATGGTAAAGAATCTGAACTGACAACCTAAAAATATCAAGTCATAGGAACATGAAACATGCTCACTGTTACTGGTAGTGAAGTAAATGCGAAATTCAACTTCTGCATCTTGAAGTTGCAAATTTCAAACCTACATAGTGTCAGTGAGGATGCAGGGCCACAGGCTCTCTCATTCTGCTGTTGGCACACTTCTGGAGGGCTCTGTATGCTTACAGGTGTCCATGATAAATGCTTTTCTGTGTAGCCTTCATTGCTATCACCGTACTACCTATTACCTCCTCCCTCCCGCCTTCCTTTACCACATCAATATACTTTACGATGATAGGGACATTGTTTACTGATCTGCCCAAATGCTTAGAATAGCACCTGGCCTGGCTGGGCACGGTGGCTCATGCCTGTAATCCCAGCACTTTGGGAGGCCGAGGTGGGCAAATCACAAGGTCAGGAGTTCGAGACCAGCCTGGCCAACATGGTGAAACCCCATCTCTACTAAAAACAAAAAATTAGCTGGGCATGGTGGCAGACGCCTGTAATCCTAGGCAGACGCCTCCCAACTACTCAGGAGGCTGAAGCAGGAGAATCACTTGAACCCAGGAGGTGGAGGTTGTGGTTAGCCTAGATCGCAGCACTGCACTCCAGCCTGGGTGACAGAGCGAAACTCCGTCTCAGGAAAAAAAAAAAAAAAAAAAAAAGTAGCACCTGGCCCCAAATTAGATGTTCAACATATTGAATGAATAATTGATCTTTAACCCAGTAGCTCTTAGGGATTGATACTAGGCAATAATCAGTGATGTACAAAAACTTTCTATCCAAGGATGCTCATTTCAACATATATTGTGATAGTCAAATTTTGCAAACCACTGAAATGTCCAGTAAAAATTATGAACCATCCTTATTAGAGACTATAATAGTAAAGTCATTAAAATCATGTTATAGCAGACAACATAACATAGAAAGATTTCCTAGATATATTGTGAAAAGGGCAGGTTATATAACTGTCCAGAAATTTATTTTCTATGTCTAATATAATCCTAATTTATATAAATCTGCATATACATGAAAAACTTGTGTAAGAACATGCTGACATTTTAACAGTATTTCTCTGGATAGAGTAATTGTAAAAAGTTTACATGTTTTTCCTTACTCTTTCATGTATTTTTGCAGAGTTTCTGTAATAGGACCATTCTGTTTTTGAGACTAGATTAAAAACAATGTAGCAGAGGCCATGGGTGCCTCACCCATATTCCTCAAGCTGGCCCTAGTTCCAAGTAGCTAAGAGCCTGGGGGTGGCCCTCTACCTACAAAGGGTGGGAGTGAGTGGCTCTCTCTCACACAGCTTCCTCTGCCCCAGGGGACAACTCTGCAGCGTGTTCCTCACAGCCTGGCAGAGCCCCTGGCAGTGCCCCTTGGTGGCTGTTCTTTGCATTCCCTTCTTCTCAGCCTCACTTCTCCATGCCACCTCAGTGCTTCCTGGATCCCCTTTCAAGCCAGCTACTTGCACACAAATCCTTGTCCCAGAGTTTGCTTTTAGGAGAAGCCCCGGCTAAAAGGCACAAATGCTGTTTTAAAAATCCTGCCCGCTCCGTGTAAAGAAAGTTAGCCAAGCACAGTGCTATAGAAAGAACTCCTGTCTGGGCTGTTTCTGTGGGTCGTTCACTTTCAATCTCTCAGCATCCCTGGGTTGAAGAGAGATCTTGCTTAACTGGGAGGGAAGGCCAAAGGGTTTCTGGATACAGGAGCCACCTTGGGGAGCTTAGAGCCTCAGAAGAGGCAAGGATGTAAGTTATAAGAAGGGGCTGTCCAAATAAGATTAATAAACCACCCCTGCGATGCCAGCACATGGCTCACAGCAGATCTGCCTCAGGCGTCTACCATTGCTATAGGATGCCATGAACACCTAACTCTCTCTTATGAGGCTTAGAATCAGGGCTGCTGAGGACTTCAGAAATCATCTCATTCAGGTGAGGTAGAGGAGGTGGGTAGCTTCCGTGAGGGTCCCAGAGCAAGAGTTAGAGACAGAGCCAGGACCAGAACTTACTGAAAAGCTATGATCCAAGGTCTGACTTGGGTTCTGAGGATTTGCTCAGTGATAGATGACATTCTCGATTTGGCCTGAAGAGGGCAGACGCTTACCATTCATGGAGGTGAAGAGCTTGTTTTTAAGGCCGGACTAACATCTCCCAATAAGGTCATTTGGTTCTAGTGAGAGTTACAGCTCACAACATTCTTGACTCTTCTGCTGCAAATATGCTACTGGAAAGACACTGAAGTTCAGAGACTGAAGTTCCTTTAGTTCCAACTCTGGCACTGTAATAGGTGACCTTGCACAGGTCACTTCACCTCTCTGAGTCTCACTTTACTCATGAAGTAAGATCTCTACTCTGACTGAGGTGGTGGTATTGGGGGGAAATATGTAACTTACAAAGTTACATATTACAACACACATCACTGCTGTTAAATTCTGTGTGTGTGTGTGTGTCTGTGTGCGCACGTGCACACTCGTGGAGAGAGCTTGACAAAGGAGAGAGGCCTAGGCCAAAGGAGGTTTTTCTGGCCTCAGGTGAATATATTTGTAAATTCTCTAGCAATTGGAACCAATCCGCTTTGTACTTGGAAAAGACTTAACTGCTTTTCCTTATATTTCAAACTGTAGTTTTTTAAAAGCTAAAGATGTCCCTTAACTGGGGTATGAGGAAAAAATACGTAACAGGGATATATGTAAATTTCTACCATTAAGTCAAAAATATTGCTGAATACAGAGAAGGTATTGGTAATATCAATTTTTAAAACTAAATATTTTAGTGGTTACTTGGTCATGAGAAGCAAAAAAGTAAGAAGTGAGTATTTTTTAAAATCCTGTACCATTTTCCTAGAACATCAAGCCCTAGTACAGGAAGGGACATTTTCACACTAATCTGTGCCAGCTGGAGCAGTCCTGCCATCTGAACATCATATTTTGGAACATTGGGAAGCTAGGATGCAGTTAACAGGTAAGTAGTAATGGGAGAACTTTCTAGAAACCATGTCTGGAGGAGGGGTTCAGGAGCTGAGATGCTGAGCCTGGGGAAGGGAAGACTTGAGTGGGGCAGGCCCTACAAAAAGGAGTTCCATCAATCCAAATAAGTACAAGTCACAAAGGAAAGGTCTGGTCTCAATAGCAAAGGGCATTCTTCCCTGAGAGATCAGTGTGTTGTCACAGGAGACAGCAAGCTCTGAACACTTCAAGACATGCTTAGAAGGCCCCTCGATGTCAGTGGAAAAGGGGTTGCTAATGTCATCTCAGAAACCAAGTTATTCTCATACAACAAAATCAATCACGTATCAAAATGTGATGGAGAGCAAGCCTGCAGCAGTCAGATGGTTCCCGGAGCACTACAGGATAAAAACAGCCTTGAAATACAGAAGACAAAGTA